TACTTGCAAGCAGGGGGAGAGGAGTCTCTTGATGTACTATTCTGATTTGACATCGATATGGAAAGAGCTTGATCACTATCAGAATGTGAACTGGAAGTGTGATGAAGATGCAAAGGYATATAAGTCACTTGTATCTCAGCAACGAGTCTTTGCCTTCCTCCTAGGGCTGAATCCTTCGTATGAGTCCATCAGGGTACAGATCTTGGGTAGTAAAGACATACCGTCAATTCAGGAGGTGTATTCCTTGGTGCAGTCAGAAGAGAGTAGAAGAAGTGTGATGAATGGTGTAGAAGGGGAGTCAGTTGCCCTAGCTATCCGGGGAAATACAGATATGTTGGAGGTGGTTTTAAAAAGGGTGACTCTCAGAAAAAAAACAGATGATAAGAGCAAACTTTGGTGCACTCACTGCCAGAAGACACGACACACGAGAGATGCATGTTGGGATCTCCATGGAAAACCTAAGTGGGCACAAGATTTGGGTAAGAAGTCAACACCTAATCAGGGCAAGAAACTAGACCAGCAGAATCAGAAAAAGTATAACTCAGCTAATATGGCGTCGACAGAGACTAGTCCTTTGGTAACTCATGAGAGGCATCCCAGTTCTGACCCTAAGGAAGATATTATCAACTCCTTTCGTGAACATTTGGAATTGTATTGTAGGACTCTCCGCCAGATGGATTCTGGTCCTACTCCCTCTACCTCGTTTGCGTCTACATCATGTAATGTTGCCACTGCCTTCCATGTGTCATCTCATACCACTGATTCTCCTTGGATTATTGACTCCGGAGCCTCAAACCACATGACCGGTAAGTCAAATTTGTTTCAGACATATAATCTTCTCTCTGGGAGAGATAAGGTAAGACTAGCTTATGGTTCTTTTTCTACCATAGCTGGCCGAGGTACCATCGCTGGCCGAGGTACCATACCTCTCCCACTTGGCCTTACCCTTCCTAATGTACTGCATGTTTCGAAATTACCTATTGATTTGCTTTCCATTAGTAGTATAACTCACTTCTTGAACTGCTCAGTCACTTTTTTCCCGTCTTCATGTGTGTTTTAGGATTTGGCCTCGAAGAAGACGTTTGGTAGAGGAAGCATGGTGGATGGTCTCTATGTGTTGGAGAATAAAGCTAGTCTTGTGGCTACGGAGTCCATGAGTCCATCAAGTGAGAGTCAAGCCTATTTATGGCATAGTCGTCTAGGTCATCTGTCTTTTGAGTCATTAAAAGTTATGTTTCCAAAGTTGTTTGAGTCCTTGTCAGTGAGTCAGTTACAGTGTCAGACATGTCAATTGAGTAAGCATTGTAAAAGTTCTTTACCTTTGCGAAATAAAAGATCTGAATTTCCATTTCATATTGTTTATTCTGATGTTTGGGGCCCTGTTACTCTACCTATTGAGGCTAGGCTGGCTATAAGTACTTCATTGCCTTGATTGATGATTATTCTAGATACACCTGGGTTTACCCTATGCGATCTCGAGATGAAGTGCCAAAAATTGTGAAAGATTTTCAACGCATGGTGTTCACTCAGTTCCAAACAGAAATCCATATCTTCCAGTTGGACAATGCGAAGGAATACTTCCATAGTGATTTTACGGAGTTTTTTGCTTTGAGTGGGTCACTTCAGCGAAGCTCTTGTGCCAGGACACCCCAACAAAACGGTTTGGTTGAACGGAAGAACCGCCACCTTCTCGAAGTAGCTCGTGGCTTATTAATTCATTTGAATGTGCCAAAACATTTTTGGATGGATGCAGTCTTGTGTGCTACATGTATCATCAATCGCATGCCCTCTCGGCTACTAGAGTATAAGGCCCCACATCAGCTTTTGTTTCCTACAGCTCCGTTGTCCACCATTCCGATGCGTGTTTTTGGGTGTCGTTGCTTTGTCCATAACCTGTCCCCTACTCGAGGTAAGCTCGATCCTCGGGCTATTCCTTGTGTTTTTCTTGGTTACCCTTTATCTCAAAAGGGGTATCGCTGTTATGATCCTACCTCTCGCAAGTACTATGTCTCCATTGATGTCTCCTTCTTTGAGAATCAACCTTTTTTCTCGGTTTCTCCTCAGGGGGAGAATAGGGTTGAGGAGAAACAGGCAAACTCAAACTCAACTACCTCCTTTACCCGATCCTCCTCCATTCCGGGTTTTTCATCGTCGCCATAAAAGTCAGCAGAGTTCAAGAGCCGTGGAACCTGACACTATGCAACCAATATCATCGGATTCACCCGAGGCAGATCCGTCTCATTAGCCAGGTACACTTGCTTCTATTGATGTGTTTGTTCCTCTAAATGTTGATTCACCTGTCATCAATGATCTTAATATTCCTATTGCTAAGAGAAAGGGTGTTAGGTYTTGTAYYACTAATCATCCTATCTMTAATTTTGTGTCCTATGATCATGTTTCACCTTCATACCGTACATTCCTCTCTTCTGTGGACAGTGTCCCCGTCCCTAAGAATGTGGCAGAAGCTTTGTCTAAACCTGAATGGACAGATGCAATGCAGGAAGAAATTGATGCTTTACACAAAAATGGCACTTGGGAGTTGGTGGGCCTTCCTGAAGGGAAGGAACCAGTGGATTGCAAGTGGGTGTTCACAGTGAAGCACAAGGCTGATGGAACTGTTGAAAGGTACAAGGCTAGGCTGGTAGCAAGAGGCTTTACACAGGTATATGGAGTGGACTATGTAGAGACTTTTGCTCCAGTAGCCAAGATGAACTCTATCAGGATTCTTCTTTCATTGGCAGCAAAATCTTGACTGGGAACTTCACCAATTGGACATCAAAAATGCTTTCTTGAATGGTGACTTGGAAGATGAAGTGTACATGACCCAACCTCCAAGGTTCTGTGCCAAAGGCAGTGAACAAAAGGTGTGCAGGTTAAAAAAATCTTTATATGGGTTGAAACAATCACCTTGGGCTTGGTTGGTTCTGTGCCTCTGTAATCTGCCAATTTCCAGGTTTCACACCCAATCTTGTAGTTGCATAAGAAGAAAGTGGGATTTGCCTCCTTTAAAACCCTCAAATTTTTAGATTACTTGTACAAGATTATTGTTGATCCAAATGTAACCATGTATCATGTGTTTTACTTTCTTAGTACACTGAACCAATATTAAAAAACAATGAATATGTGGAAGCTTTCTGTTTGATACTTGTCTCATTTCTGCAGGCAGCCATCCGAGAAACTTTAGTACTTCCAAATTGTGAAAGTGTGTGCATCCCATGGATGTTAGCAGATAAGAATGACTGGGTTCCCCAAAAAGTTGCTCCATTTATATGGGTTAATCAAGAACCTGTTAGTGAGTCCAGAATTTGTGATGCACCCAGCCAACTTGGGGATGCAAAGATACAACCTGAATCATGTAGGGGAAACAAGCAAAGACCCAGTGATTATCCCGAAGAAAAACATGACAAAGCAGCAACTGATGTATCTGTTCAACAGCCAAACCAGAAGCCCTCAAATGAGTCTGTATCTTCTTCTCCCAGCTTAACTCCATCGAATTCCAGCAATCAATCTGCCGGCAGCCAGTCCTTGCAAGATTTGAGGGCTCCACTTTCAAAGAATGACGAAGCACAAGAAATCTACAACGAGAACGGACCCAATAACCCAGAGTATCTACCAACATCAAGGTCAGTAGCGATAACAGAACAGACCTCGTTTGATGAGGATGTAAAACCTAAGAGAATAGGAAGGAGAGAAAGGATGATGGGTTTGGGAAAGAAAATGGGAGAAAAATTTGAAGAAAAAAGGCGTCATATTGAAGAAAAGGGCAGGCACATTGTTGAGAAGATGCGAGGACCATGATGGTACTTGCACATACTCTCTCCCTACTCCAGCTCCCTCTGCATAGAGTCCAAAATATGAGGAAACCTGCTATTTGACTATTTGTTGTGATTTAAAAGCTCCTTGGGCCAAAAGGTAACAAACAAAACTCATTTGGTCTTTGTAAGATAAAATATTGCACAGGACCCAAGGGTGAATTCCCCCCCCCCCCCCTTTCCTGATTATCCAGATGCTGTTTGGTTTAGAGATTGTATTCTATCAATTATGTAGGCAAAAAACAACGGAGAAAAAGAAACCATAAGCTAGAAAAAATCATACATTTTCCATAACCACTGTGGGGGGAAATGCACATGACTTGAATGTATATTAGTCGGGACCCATGTGATGTGTGGGCTTTGTTAAGTGAAATTGAAGCAGAGTGGCCTCAATGATATCCTTAATAAAGTGAAGCCAGTACAAGTCAAATAAGTATCACTTTTTGGTTATGTCTATCTTGCCCTGTGAAATTACAAATTAGTTAATTAACAAAGTAATTAATTTTAAATTATAATTAAATTATAAAACTATATATCATAAATTTTGTTGGCCAAAATGAATAAATTGAGGCAAGATGAACAAACAATAGGGGTGAGCATGGGTTGGTTCGGTTTGGTTTCAAGGCAGAACCTAGAATTGATCCCTTCCAGGTTTTTGGAATCAAAACCTACCCAGGGTCCATTCTAGGGTCTACCCATTGAACATGTTCATTTATTACCCCCTCCCAAAAAAATGGAACATGTTCATTAAAAAATTAATTTTCAATAATAATAACAATATAGTTCAAAATTTATAATTATAATTTAAAATTTGTGAACATTCTCTTTTCAATTACTTATTATACACATTCAATTATTAAGTTGAAGAAAAATGATCAAATGGCTTACACATTGTTTGGTTTGAAGGAAAAGGTGTAAACCTATACAAAGCTACCTTGTATAGGTTCCCATACCTTTTTCTTTTGAGGTAAGCACAGCCTTAAGTGACTCAATGAACAAGTAAGACCATGGTCTTTGTAACCACAAGTGCTTAGGTTCAAATATTCATATCCTCAAAGTATTTTAGGATTCATTTCAAGACAAGTTTGATTCTAAGGTCAATTCCACCAAGGTTACCAATCGAGGGCTGGGTTGTTGGTGTGTTAGCTAGTTTGTTCCAGTGTTAACGCAGAATCGAATCCCACAACCAGCTCTTTGGGGAAAAAGGGGTCAAGGGGAAGTTTAATGGTGCATGGCATCGAATACCGAAAAAAAAAGGCCAACCAAGGTTGGTTTTACCAAGGCCAATCATGGTCAGTTCTCCAGGTTGGTTCAAATAGGGTAAACCCCTAGAGCCTACAAGGCTACAACTAGCGTAGGAGAGGGTTAGTTCCAAGAATTTATATTAAATTCAAATGAATTTTGATTGGATATTACTTCTAAATTTATTTTACTATTTTTATTTATTATGATAAACAAAATTTATTAATTTTAACAAAATAAGCTTTATCAATTTCATAAATTTTATTAGTAAAAATTATTTTTTATAAATTTTATTGATTTTATTACCTTTTATTAATTAATTTATTATTATTCAATTAGTAAAATTTTATTTTTATCAAAAATAACAATTAATGATTTTTTGTGTTATTTAAGTAACTTGCTAATTTATTTATAATTTTTATAATGATTTTTTATTTTTTTTCAAATGGAATGTGAATGGATTATACGTATTATGATATTTTATTTGTATTAATTCATTTTAAATTTTCTTTTTGAATAACTTTAAAATGGGATGATTTTTCATTAAGGCTTATTATTTATAATTAAATTTTGCTAAAAATGATATTACCTTTCAAAAAATAAATTGGTTAATAGCTATACAATATATTTTACTAAAAACTATAATTAAATGGAAGTATTTAAAGTGGATTTAAATTTATAATTTTAAGTTTGAAATGAAATTAAAATGTGTTATAATTATAATTAAATGTAATTTTACATTTCAAATATTAATAATTCTATTGTCGAGTGAAGTAAATAATATTTATTTTGAAATGCAATTTACTTGATTAACTTAAAAATCAATTATCTTTTAAATGGAAGTTGATTATTTAGCCTATAATAATCTACTATTGAATATCAAATGGGTTATTAATTACAATTAGATAGAACTTAACTTTTCTTATGATGTAAAGAATAATTATATTAAGTTAATTTAGTTTAATTATGTTTAAAGTTGCATTTTGAATTTAATTTTTTAATAATAATTATAATTGAACGTAAATATATCTAATGGATACAATAATAATTAAATTGATATGGATATAGATATTTATGAATTTTAGACAATTTAATGGAGTAATTGAGAGGAGAGAGAATTAGTGGCATGAGTTATTATAAAGAGGTGAGATAATTGGGGGAGTTAGTGAAAAAGAGGAGAACGAGAGACAGTTAATGGTGAGTTAATGATTCTCTCTATGCCCCTCCCATTTTGGGTGCGTTCTTCACAAAAGTCTCTTAGCATTGGTTGTTTTAAAAATGATATGGAATTAAAAGATATCAAAATTTTGAAAAGGGGGAAAAAGTAGATACTTCCTTGTTTTAATATATATGCTAGTCGGGACACATGTGATGCATGGGCTTCATTAAACGAAATTGAAGTAGAAAAACCTATTTGATATTCTCAATTGAACTAAGCCGATCTAAGCCCAAAAGCATCATTTTTTTTGTTGTCTAGTTGGCCCTATGACATTACCAATTAGTTAGTCAACAAAACAAAACATTAAATTTTAAATTATAATTAAAAAAAAACTTCAATTGTAAAATTATTATATAACTTTTGTTAGCCAAAAAATGAACAAACTAGGGCAATATGAGCTAACAATTTAAAACACTTCCCTAATTCTAGGTTCCCTTATTTGCTTTAGAAAAATGCTTGTCTTCTTCATCCTAGGGATCATTTTAAGCTCAACCCAAGAAAAAAGCATAGCCCCGCAAATTTTCAAGTTGGGCTTGGGTCCAATACTTCAAGTTTGATCCACACATATTTATGTATATATTATTTATAGTTTATATATAAATATTTTAGTTGACATCTATAATAGATATTATCAAGGTTCAAAATATTGATATGCCCGATATGCCGGTAGGGGTGTATTGGGCAATATCGATATATTTTTTTATTTTTTTCAAAACCAGTTCGGGGGGGGGGGAGCGGTTTAAGGCTCCTCCACCCCCTGAACCGGTTAGAACCCCGATACATCTTCTGTAGGGGCGTATTGGGGAGATCTCAGAACAATATGTATTGGTCGATACACGTCAATACTTTGAACATTACATATTATATATAATAGTTTGTATTATATTATGCATAAAATAAGTTTTATAGACATTATAAGATATATAATATAAAATTGTATATATATTTAATATTTTATACACAAAAGTCATAGGCCTAGAATCAAGCTTCACCCAAGGCTTATTTCAGGCCTGAAAACCTAATCCAGGCTAGGCCTAGGCCTAACCCATAGCCCTTATCGCAGGTGCTAAGCTAAGCCCAACCCAACCCATGATTGGCCATACTTCATCTTCTCCACAATCGTCCACGAACTCCTTACTCCTTGGTCCATTAATTTGGTTCTCCTCCAACTTTGTCAATTCAAACACCAACCCAACAATAATTTTATTAATGTTTAGATTTACCAAATTATGGGATTTAAAGTAAATAAAAGAGATTTTAAAACTAATAACTTTATTTTTGCTAGATAATTTTGTACTTATTTTAAAAGGATTGTTAATGGTTATTAGGTTTTAATTTATTTATTATTTTTATTAATTTATTAAGACAAACAAATTTTATTAATTTTACAAAATTTAGTTTTATTAATAATTATTTTTTGTGTTATTTAAATAATTTCATAAATTATTTTAATCGTTTTTAATGAACTTTTATTTTTCAAATGTAATGTAAGTAAATTATAATTTATATGATATTTTATTTGTACTTATTAATTTTAAATTTTCTTATTGAATAATTTTAAAATGATCTGTTTTTTATTATTTATAATTATTTTTTGTTAATAATTATATTATCTTTCAAAAAATAAATTTGTGAATAGCTATACATTTTTATTAATAATTATAATTGAGTGGAAGTATATTAACTAGGTTTAAATTATAATTTTAAGTTTGAAATGAAATTTAAATGGGTTATAATTGTATTTAAATGTAATTTTACATTTCAAATATTAATAATTTTATTGTTAAGTGAAATAAATGATATTTATTTTGACATTCAATTTACTTGTTTAATCAACACAAAAATTACTTATTTTTTAAATGGAAGTTGATTATTTAGCCTATAACAATCTACCATTGAATATTAAATGGGTTTTAAAATATGATTAAATAGAACTTATTTTTTACTGTGAAGTATGTAATAATTACGTTTTAATTTAATTTAATTTGAGTAATTATGTTTTAATTTGTATTTTGATTGAATATGATTTTTTATTAATAATTATAATTAAATGTAAATATACCTAATGGATATAAAATTATAATCAAATTGAAATAGATATAGAGATAGATAGAGTTAATGAATTTCAGAAATTTTAATAGAGTAATTGAGTTGAGAACTATAGAAAGATGAGTTATTAGAAGAGAGTTAATGACATGAATAATGAATATAGATAATTGGAGGAGTTAATGAGAAATAGGAGAGAGTTAATGGCCTCTCTCTATCTCTCATTTGGGTTTTTTTCACAAAAGTCTTTTCTCATTGGTTGTTTTAAAAATGACGTGGCTGTTAAAAAAAAAAGTAGAGATGGCCCTGTTTTAATGTGTATGCGTGTGTACAAAGTGGGGTACAATTAACATGTGGACCCCACCAACACGAGCGTGGTCAAGTGGATGTGTGGTCCGAGAAGTGTCTCCCACCTGGTACTGTGCACCTGAGGTGTTGTAAAGAGGCTGGAGATTGATTTTGCCTGGATTCCGGAATGGCCGATTCCCATTTCTGAAGGGATAAGAATGTAGGGCCTGTTTGGTTCGCAGGCATAGGGGTCTCCAATTCGAGTCAGAATGGGTCATTCCCCCAATTGAGGAAATGGCCATTCCCTCCTCCCTTGGGAATGAAATATCATTTCAGTCTTGATTCTGATTCCTATCTGAATCAAATGGATTATGGGAATAGGCCATTCCGATTCCAATCTAAAGGATTTTGATTGTAATTCTGATTCTGATTACAAATCAAAGGACATGCAATTTTATTTGGATTAGTACAAATGTATGGGAGTGCAAATAAAAACAATGCAAGTTTTCGTTTAATTTTGTTTTGAATATTACTTTATTCTGCTCCAAGTCTTATTTTACTTCATTTGTAATGCAATCAAACAAAATATGAAATAAAAGTAAATCATAATTTGCACTATTATGGTTTTGCATCAGTGCAAATAAATTCACATTGCAATCAAACACAACCTTAGATTAATAAGAGATCTTTGGAACTATAAGTTTCTAGGGGTAATGAATATTGTTTTTAGTATGATCTTTTCTTCTCTTCAGGCACATGCAGAAGAAGAAGAAGAGAGAAGAGAGTAAGAGAAGAGACGGATTGAAACCCAATCTATTTCTAGATGGTATCAGCTTCATTGATCAATTATAACATGACAACAGTTGAGTAACTGCTATGGGGGTGATTCATTTTCACAGGCATCTGAACATATCCTCCCAAAGGATGAAAAATGTGGACCTAGGGCTGCTACTGACAAGGATGATTTGCAATCTCTTGGATGCCCAGAAGGTCATGTACAAGATGCCAATCTAGATAATCAGATTGTGCTTGGTCAGATAAGACCTTTCTGTGACTCAATGGATTACGAGTTACAACTTTGGTAAGGTCTCTTCCTGCTGGTTGTCTGGAGACTTGTGACAGAATCCCACCTGCACCTAGGTTGGGGGGTTTATGGATTTGGGGATGTATTAACCCCAATTGTGTAATCTCTTAGAGCAAAAACGAAAAAAAAAAAAAAAAAAAACTTGGAATTCACACGAGAATACAATTTGTTTTGCCATTCTTAAAAACAAGACAATATTTAACAGCTCTGAAGTCGCTTGCAACTGTGTATTGAGAATACCTTTATACTTATATGCTTTTATTCATAGAGAAATATTCTCAATACACAGCTGCAAGTAACTGTCAATACGGTATGAGCACGATCTTGTAAGGACTGAATCCCAGGTCCATTTTCTCATTGTTTGGTTAGAAAGCTAGGGAATGCACATAGCTTGGTAGCAATATGTAAAATATGGGACCTGAGTCACTGATCTAAGAAAATTTAAGAGAAAAATTAAGGGTATTATTGTTTCCTTTAAAGGCAAGTAGAAGAATTAAAGCCCTTCATTTTAGTGACATGTTTGTTTGACGAGGCTTCATTTTTCTCAAATGTATATGCTGAGGCATCTAGGAGCTTATAGTTATTCTCTTTTTATTTTGTCTTGCAACATAAATGACAATATACAAATCCGGGTCCAGTACATATTGAATATTCTTGTAGCCCCTTGTGTCTCATGGCCTCAAGACAAGAGGTGAGAGTGAGACTTAGGGGGTGTTCTTTTTTTGGATTTTGAAAGAGGGGAAAGTTGGTCAATGGGATTTTGGTTCCCATTGACTAAGAATCCCATGTTCTTTTTTCAGATTTATGTGGAGGCTAGGGAAAGTTTATTTTCCTTGGTATCACTTATCCGACCCATCTCCTAGGTGGGTAAATTACTTTCCCATCTAAGGGGAAAGTTGCCTACACTTGAATGGACAAAAATGTCTTTTTTAATTATGGATTTTTATAGCTAAAATGGTCACTGCCTTATTTACATGATAAATAAAAAAATATGGGTAAATGCACTTACCTAGGTAAGTGTTTCTCAGGAAAAACTTACCCAAGTAACTACATTTACCCGAGTAAGTAATTTATCGAAAAACGAACGGGGCCTTAAAAGGAGGTCTAAGATCAAGTTGAAATGCATTACAAGTAACATGTGTTCACTGTTCAGTATGCACATTTCAGCTCCACAAGTAAAGGAAAAAAAATGTATTGACTCCAGTGATAAATTGGTTGCCCATGTTCAATAGTTTGGGATGTTAAAAAAGATTCAATTCCTCTGCAAGTTTCATCAATAGGAGCAAAAAGGATTTGGCGCAGTTTGGAAATAAATCACATTTATGCTATGTTTGGTTTGAAGGAAAATGTAGGGAAAGGAAAGGAAAGGTAGGGAAACCTTTACAAACCTTGTATAGATTTTCCTACTTTTCCTTTCTTTTCCTTCAAGATAAAATGGCCTTAATGAAGTTTCAAAGGAAAGGATTAAAGCCAAAAAATAAGAAGAAGAACAACTCTTCACTGAATAATTAAGAAAAGACTAATAGAACCACCCTAACTTTGGCCTAGCTTCTCTTTATATCGACTTCATTACATCCATATGCCTCCTATAAGAAATTTTTCTAATCTAATTGAACACTCTTTATCAGAGTTCTACTAAATCTCTTCAAAAAAGAAAGTCTAAATTGAATATAAATTCGAAAATCCCATTATGATACTATTTTAGAAAAATGTGAATCAAGATAAACAAATACAGAAATCCTATGATAAAGTTATCTTGGTAAATACAAACAAAGATAGATTGCCAAAAGTCAACTTATTAAATGTTTACTCAATTAGGTTTGAATCCTATTCTGCCTTAGGATTCAATTCCCCTGTTGGTTTCACTGGGGGCAAAAAGAAACTTACATTCCCATGCTAGTTTCATTGATAAGGGCAAGAAAGAAACTCTATAAAGGATGAAAAACTATCTCGAGTCCAACCAAAGGGCCTAAGGATGCTCCCTAAGAAAAAGTCTATGCTTAGTAATTATCTTAATTTATTAAAATTAAATCAGGGTCAATTATAGAATTAAATCAAATTAGAGTGTGTGCTCATGTGTCTTGGATTCAGTGTCAGTTGTTAGGGAATACCATTAGGGTTTTGTCATGTGTTTTATGAGATATCTCAAGGACGGGCTTCCTTTCGTCTGAAGATTCTCATAATACACGTGCTACTTCCTTTTGCGAGTCTCTTAGGCTGGCATGGTGTGGGTGACGTCAATACTTATCTTATGTGTATTTTCTAATCCTACTTGACATTTTGTCACGTGCATTATTAACGAAGCACATGTTTCTTTACTCGTTGTAACTCGTAATGGTCTTGGACTATTGCAGGTCTATGATGAATTTGAGATCATTGCAGGTTCATGGTAATTTTGAGTTCATCGCATATATGTGATGGTTCTGAGTTCATCATGACCTCACAATGGCCTTATATTCATTATAGGTTCATGATGGCTCTGAGTTTGCTTTCGTCATTGCGGTTCTAGGTCTATTGTAGACCTGTGGTGGTTTTGAGCTCATCGCAAACTCATTTCAAGTTTTGAGCTCATTGCAAGTCTTTGTAGGTTCTGAGCTCATCACGGATGTGGGCCGAATTGTGAACTTGTTACGAGTGTTCTATGGTATCAGTTTAACATCCTCTGTGCCCCACAGTCGTGGCGATCAACATTACAATAAGATTTAATTTAAATCTAATTGTTAATAAACCAAATTTGGAACTAAGCATATTCAATTCAATTGAATCCATTCCGATCACCTTATCCACTACATAACAAATTTGAATTGTTTTGCTTGTTATGTTATGCATAATCTTTACCCAGATTTCAAGGACATTAAGATCTATTTTAATAATTTTTTTGAAATATATTCTAATAAAAGGAAGGAGAAGTGTGCTAATATTCAATGGTGTAACATTTATAAGTAGAATTCACATCTCCGCTCCACAAGAGCTGCCCCACAACGTCCCACAAACACATCCCTATTGTGTATTAGAAACATCTCTCGATGATATTATCATAACCAATAATGTCATCATGGAGAAATGTTCCCAATACATGACGAGAATGTAATGTGGGACGCTGGAGATGTAAACTCTTACAAGTATTAATGTAAAGTAAAGTCCAAGGTATGTAGGCAAATAGAACGAGCCTTACGTGATATTATGTTCTACAGATACAAGCTCCAAATATCTTCCTATAGATTTAATATACATGCATGTAGTCTAGTAAATCTAAATTTTTTAAGTAATTGGTAATACACACCACATTAATAGCCCACCTCTCCAAATTCTATGGTAGAGCAAATCGGCTAACAAACCAATTGAGTTACCCCTCAATTGATGAATATCTCCCCATGAATGGGAGTTTGGATCACCTACCAACAAAATACATTTCAACACCTCACTAACATCATCATACACCGGACATATCATACATGACAGGTCCCACTTTTATGGTGGGCCCATGTTTCATAATGAGATGTGTAGTGTTAGATCTAGATCTAATTGGTAGTGTGTTGGAATGTATTTTGTTGGCAGAAAATCCCAACTCAATAATTATGTGTTTGATATAGCTTCCATTTATTAAATAAATATTTGTATTTGAATTGTCTTCAAAACCAAGAAAAAATATTTGATAAATTATTTAGTAACAATTAGGCATCACATCAACGGAATAGTGAATAAACATTGGGAGTATTAAAATGAAACTTTTCCCGTCCATTGACATAGATAAATTAAGACCAACTTTTATCAATATCTATACATACTATGGGATAAATGCTGATTTGGCAATAACGTGACACAATTTATCAAATAAACAGAAAGATCCGTATAAATCTAATCGAATAAGATCCTAGCAAGGAGATTGATTTAAACGGATATCGAATCCGAATTAGCGAATAGGTTTTGAATTCGAATCGGATTAAATCCATCCATCTGCAGCCCTAGATTTCCCTGCCCTGCCCTTGTCGACGTCCAGAACCAGAAGAATAGAAGAGGGGAAGAACCAGAAACCGATCTCCATCGTCTCGCAGTCGCAGGTACATCAAGTCTCTCTCTCTCTCTCTCTCTCATAACTGATTGAAATCAGATTTAGCGGCTAAAACCTCTTTATCCCAACGTGGCTAGGATTGATTAGCGAAGGAAGGTATGGCGAAGCAATTGGGACCAACGGGGGAATTTTTCAGGAGGAGGGATGAATGGAGGAAGCATCCGATGCTCACAAACCAGCTCAGGCACGCCACCCCTGGCCTCGGAATCGCTCTTGTCGCTTTTGGTATCTATCTCGTCGGTGAAGCTGCTTACAACAAGTTTTACACTCCCCATCCTTCTTCTTCCAGTTCTCATTCTCACTGAATCGGAGGTTTGAAGGATCTGGTGCATATCTCTCCATAACTTTTTCCCCTAACCTGTGGTGTTGTCCATTGATTTTTTTAATGATCTGGTTTTTTTTGTTGATTATTTAGAAAAAAAAAATTGAATTGATTCTGCATCTGCTGAGATGAGTTTGAGTCGGATTTATGTTTTGATAATTTTGGAGCATTTTCTGCTAGCACATGGTTCTTTGTTTAAGCTGCTTTTGGTTTATCAGATAACCGGTGAGAAAGGGAAAGCTGTGGGAAAGTCTTTCAGTCGTTTTATGAAGGGTTTTCTGTTAATTTTGGAGGGCTTATGCAAACCCAGATGATCATTTCTTTACTTGTTCGTTTTCTTTCATTCATTTTGCTGATTATTTATGTTTTGTCTTTGAATATGGTGGATTTAATTGCTTCTGTAAAATTAGGGTTTTGGTTCTTTAGAATAAGCCTTTTGTTTTAGTAATATGATTTTATATTTTTGTTTTATGATAAATTGGAGTTAAAGTCAACATTAAGTGAGGTGAATTTTGTTGCAGTTTCTGTTTCTCCCATTTTTTAATTACTAGCAAACGTGCACGGGCTTTGCATATGATGATAATAGTAATAATGTACGTCCAAAATTTCTTATATTTCTATGTGTATAAAAATAATTCTTATTTATCACAATTATTTTTGTTTAATATAATAGTATATAATAGTTGGGACAAGGCTTAGATGATGTTCTCAAATGTTTCCTACAAAATTTCTGTAATTATGACATCAAGGGTTGATACATTTGACCCGAAAGGTTACTGTTGACCGGCCACTAAATAAGAAAACAAATTTATTTTTGGATGGGAAGGAATTATTAGGCTTTTCATTCATGGCTTGGTTTTAGACATAGATGCTGTTTATAGCTTCTTGACTACACTAGTTGGATGGTTTATCTGCATGGGTGCACATGTGCAAGGGACTAAATGTATCTCTAATGGATAATAGAGTACTTGGGCTTCTTTTTCACATTGAATTAGGTTAATATTAAGCTGGAATTTTCTAGTCTGCTCTTATGATCTTTGGCTTAGGTACTACATGCTTATGATTTTTTTTTTTTTTAAATTTTTGATAAGGAACGTGAAAGTTTATTATAAAGCAATAAGTATAGGCATTACAAGCATCCCCCAGGAGAGGCACAGGGTGCTACATTTCACAGTTTAATATATGATTACAATTGAGCCCAATACAAGTGATCCTTGTTTACCCCTTGCTTGTCTAAAGCATCTCGTTGAATTTGCTGATGTCCTCACCAATGTATCCTCAAATTCATATTTCTAGTAAGCCATTTAGATTTCTACATTTCATCCTTAAAGCACTAAATTGTAGTATTTAGTTCCTTCAGCCATCCTACCACCAATTTCGAATCCTCCTCAATCTCCAAGTTCACTACATTCAATTCATTTGCAATTGTACTCCTTGGAATGCAGTGAACAATTCAGCCCTGGTGGAATCCTCCACTCCTATTGGTCTTGAGGACAAAGCAATGACATGTCATTCTTTATTTCCCAACACCCCTCCTATTCCAAAGAGGCTTGGGTTGCCTTATTACTGCTAACAAAGTTTAGTTTCACAAAATCTTCAGTAGGAGGCTTCCACATTAAGTTTACTCTTTTCTTTTTCAGAAGAGCTTCTGGCCACCACCTCCCAATTCCTCCAAATATCATCAGATGTGAACCACAGAAAGGAATCCAAGGTTCTAATCTAGTGTATCACCCTGACCATTACACAATCTCTTATTGCTTCTTTTTTTTCTACTTTGAAAATATTCTAGCATTCCTTTCTTCCCAAAGAGTCTTAAGCACAACTACTCTCATACATCTCCACTTGATTCTTCCCCTTCTCTTATGCCAAACAAAGGTAGAAGGATCAAAAAACTTATCTACCTGCGTTGGAAGATTTTATTTGCACTCAAACAAAAAGAAAAAATATTTCCAAATATCTGCAATAAAAGTATAGGAGATTCGTAGGTGGTAACAATTCTCTCCATTGAATTTACAAATAATGCACCCATTTGGGGATAAACACAAGAAGGGTCTTCTTTTTTTTTAAAAAAGTGTCCAATGTGTTAACAGTTAACCTTACCATGAAACACTTCCCAACAAAAGGCTCTTATTTTTGGTAGAATAGGTTTGTGCCAAATTTCCTTAATAGGAAAAGGCTGAGGGGGGAGAGTACAAAGGGACTTAAAACAGCATAAGAAAAACGACCTTTAGGGTGGGGAGTCTAAATATGTGTATCCAGTTTTGAGGGATCTGAGCAAACATTATCAAGGAGTTGCAACAAACATTAGAGGGATGAAAGGGGCAACATTTGCTGGACTTTCAGCAGTCCAATTGGTTTGGCTGATTCCACAAACGCTGGAGTGATAATCCAGAATTTAATCATTGCAGGTGATTTGGCAAATACTATAAAATGGTTAAGAGACAAAGAGGGGGGGACCTTGGAGATTGAGTCACTATTTGGAAGAGGCTAGGGACTCTTTGGACTGTTTAACTGTAAAATTAGTTTGGATTCCTAGGAAACACAACCATACAGCAGATGGCTTAGCCAAATGTGGTGTGTATTTGGAGCATTTGTATATTGACAAGCTTTGTCCTTTGTAATTTGTAGGGGTTCTTCTCATGCTTTGTACATCTTCTCATGTACCTCTTCTTCTTTTAATGAATCCTGGTTAAATTTTTCTCAAAAGAAAAAAAAAAAAGCTTATGGATGATTGCCATAGTACAGGTCAAGTATCTAATCAAAGCCATTGTTGGCCCCAATGGTTGTACTGTTCAACCCATCATCTAGAGGAAAAGACAAGTTCATTATTACCTCAAACTTGTCAAAAGCAAAGAACCTGTTGACCTTGTTAGAAAATGTTGACCTGGCCAAAACTGTTGAATTGTTCAACCTGGTTTATGAGTGACAAGGCTACATTCAACCAGTCAATCAAAAGGTCAATCTCAAAATGGATAAAGAGGGAAAGGGAAAAAAAATAAAGAGTTCTATCAATTCTTTGATTGAAAACTGTGGGTTGGTGACCTCCCCCTCATCCTTGATTGAAAACTGTGAGATTAGCGACACTATTCACTTGTGATCTGATTAGTAACAAGTGATGATCATAACAGTGGGTTGGTGACCTCCCCCTCCTTTCTTTTTCAGCCCCCTCTCACTCTCTCCTCTCTACTAATAATACATATATACGTTTCTTCTTTTTCATCAACGTCATCATCATTGCCAACATCATCTAGGCCTTGTCCCAACCATTTGGGGTCAGCTACATGAATCCCATTTCATCATTCCATTCTGTTAACTGTCATATCCATTGTTAAATTATGAGTACTACTTCAAATCATGTCTTTTTCAATCTACCCCTAGCTATTCTAACCCCTTCAACTTGTAACAGATCACTTATTGTGAGTGTTATAGATGGATTTCTCAGTGTTTTAAAAGCGCAAGGTGCAAAAAAAGGGGCCAATTTGCGCCCGAGGTGTGTGCCTTTTTGAAGCAAGGTGCAAAAATACAAAAAAAAAAAGCTAAAATATGCAAAAGTATTAAACATAATATTCATAAACAATGTTTTAAAAACCTATTATCTAAAATTAAAATACATAAACATAATATGTAAGTGTATTCAAATGAAAATTTAAAAATAAAACCAAACATATAAAACATTGTCAAGCATGTAAAACCCACAATCTCTTTTTTTCCTTAATTGCATTACTTCAAGTAGTTAATGTGATGTAAAACATATTACATTCCTGATTCTACGAGCTGCCTTTGTGCCTTTCATAAAACAACTGAATACTTTCCCCTTATTTGTGTTCATTCATTCATCTTAATAAAATATCTTCTTAAAAGGAAATTAAAATTATAAAATCATTATCTTTTGTGTGAAAATTAAGAATTTAAGACCCTAACATGGACTTGTTTGGGGTTGCCTCTAGGGGCATGGTTGGAGGTCTGAGGGCGGAGCCCCGGCCTAGCCGTTAGGTTCAAAAAAAGAGAAAAGCGTAAAAATTTTCAAAAGGTGCACGCTTAGGCACACCAGGCATGTGCCTTTTGAAAGTGCTGCGCCTAGGACTTGGGCGAGGTGTCTACCCTAAAATGTGCCACTTGTGTGCCCAGGTGCACCTTTTAAATCACTGGGATTTCTATGCACATGACCAAACCATCTTAGTCTACTTTCTCTCATTTTATCACATATTGGAACTGCTCTTATGTTCCTTTGGATGACTTCATTTTGACCCTATCATTTCTATTTTTTTCACTCAACCATTTCAGCATTTTCATTTTTGCCACTCATTTTTTTTTGGACATGCTATTTCATGACTGCCCAACTCTCTACTTTATACAACACTTGCCAGAAAAGAAGGAATATAAAATAAATAAAAAAAAACACACTCTACTTCATACAACACTGCTAGTCTTACAATTGTTTTATAGAATTTTCCTTTCACCTATCACACGAGGCTCCTGATGCACCTCCTCGTTTTTCCCATCATGCTATAATCCTTTGGGCGACAATCCTCCTCAATCTCTCCCATACTACGAATTATTGAACAAAGGTAATGAAGAGGTTAAGTTAATCTCTGTCTCCAATCACAAGTGTATCTTGATTTGCACTCGTATTATTATTAAATTTACATTGCATATGTTCAGTTTTAGTCCTACTTATTTTTAAATCTCTTGGTTCAATGGTATTTGTCCATAAACCTAATTTTGCATTTAATCATTCGTTAATTTCATTAATTAATAAAACAACCACCATGGAACCTCCTCCTAAATATGTTTAGTCAATTCACCTATGACTAGTTCAAATAAATTAAGACCAAGTGCTGAGCCTTGGTGAAGACTCATTGCAATTGTAATATCTGATGTCTCATAGGTGTTTTAACATTGGTTGTTGTACTCTCATACCTATCCTTAAATAGGTGCACATACCTATTTGCCTCCTTGCTTTTTCCAAACACATCATATTTGTCTCTCTAGGGTCTATCATATGCTTTTTCTTGTCAATGAATACCATATAAAGATCTTTCTTCCTCTTTCTAATACTTTTTGATCAATCATCTCAATAGAAAGCTGGCTTCCAGGGTTGTTATTCCTTGGCATAAATCCAAATTAGTTTTTTTATATGCTTGTTTGATGTCTTAACCTTTGCTCAATTATTTCCTCCCTAAATTTTAGTGTGGTTCATAATTTTAATCCCATGGTAATCATTGCAATTTGTATATTCCCTTTGCTTTTAAATATAAGCACCATGGTGCTCTTTATCCATTTGTCTATCTTACTTACTTTTCCACTTATATTGGGATAGCATCGGATGTTAGCATATTTCCCCTTTTTATCTTGTTTGGTGTCTGCTTTACTCAAGTAATTCTAATTTTACTGAAGTATATGTTATTTTTAGTACCAGTAGAGTTACTTATCCCTCCTCTACTAGCACCCTCTACATGTTCATTTATTCAAAATGGTTTTCCGCCTTTCCTCTTATTTTCCTGATCCTCTATCAAAAACTTTGATCCTGGTTGATTCATTGTAACATGATTTATATCTTTGCCTTTCCTTTTTCTCATTTTTGCTAGTTTACAGGTTCAGTTTATGCAATTCTTAGATTTCCTTTGGAGCCCATAAAAAAGACATGGCCAACTTTGTCTGTAGATCAAAGTTTCCAAGAGTTGCATACAATTCATTGTCTACTAGAGTTCCTCTAAATAAATTACCGTTTGCGTATACCAAGATTCTTTTTTTTTCCTTTTCTTTTATCTTCTAGTTACATCTAGTGAGTTGTGGTTTACTGAATTACTGAAAGGAATGAGTGAACTTGCAGGTAAATGCTTGGATGCCTGAAATTTCACTTCACTTGACCTGGACTTGAAGCATCTTTTACTTTTTTTCTTTCGTTGGATAAGACTTGAAGCATCTTAGTTAAATAAGCTGTTTGTTGAACATATTTCAGAACTTTTGAGGGAAGGGAACTTGGTATTCTGTTTTATTGTTATGATTTTCCTTTTTTTTTTCTTTCATTTTACTCCCTTACAGGGTTGTTTAGGTTGGCACTCTATGGATATCTTAATCACAAGAGCCAAAGTTTCTTGATGTACTGATTGAAATGCAATATCCGACGCCTTTTTCGTTATGCATTGGTGGAGGGGTCTTAAAGTTGCGTTTGTTTACCCAATTAATAAACCATTATCTTTATATCAATCCCTCTCCTTAGCTAAAGTATTATTACATCAGTTAATCAGCATTCCACCATCCCAGTTCCCACAGGAAAAACTTTGGTCCCCAACAGCCAAAGTTAACTCCTATTCCACACTGCCGCGGTGCCACGGAAGCCTTAAAATCATAACGGGTTTAACATTTCGTAAGCTCTTATTCTCGGGTTACATTGTTTCTTCCTATGAGCAAACCCCATGGAGTTGAATAGAAATTGGATGACAGACTCTAGGGGAAAAGATTTATGCGATACCAATTAACGAAGAAATGTTCTGAGAACACCATGAAAGATTTCAAGTTTAAAGTCAATATAATTCAATGATTGTTTTATGGTGTTTTAGGTGATCACGAGCCAAAGAAGAAAAAAAAATTCTTCTAGGTAGTCTTACTTTAGAGAGTTCAGAGTTGCAGCCCTTAATGGCATCCATCAACCGGAGAAAAATAACTTAGTTAATACATAACTACAGTAAAGTAGATAATTCCATAACCCTCTGCAATTCTGCATTATCAAATAAATGTCCAGTGACCGCTTAAACTAGGACACACTCTTCTACCATCACCTTTTACATCATCTTATTGGACCTCTGTCATAAATAAAGGGAATGGGCCGAATGGCCCATCAGTCCATCAGAAAATGGTAACTCAAGAAATTGGTGTTAATACGTACATCTTGCATGCATGGGAATCCATGGTAACAGTCAACTTGCCCACAAATCGTGTCTTCAAAGTCTCATGCTGCATGAGAAAACAGATAGAAGGAGATTTAGATATATACCCAGAAGATGTAACATTACTATACGATAAATAAATGTACAAGCCAAAGATAATAGAAAGCTTTTCATCTTGTAAGTACCTCCCAAAGATCCCTTGCCTCTACCACTGTGTTTGGTGGAATACCTATGTCATCCCAGTGAGCCGTAACAGGATACTTCCATGGGCCTCGGTTGACTAGGAGGACAACAGTCCTATGGCCAGAAAGGGGTCCAGCCCAAACCTGCAACAGAAGTGATTCATTGATCAGTGATCACTTCATAATTAGATTCATTGAAAACACAAAATTGATATTCTAGCAGATAGAAGTTGTTGATGTACTTCCTGATCACCCTCCATCCTAACTTTTTTGGCCTGAACACCAAGTGGATCTATCCAAAATTCAAAAAAAAAAAAAAAAAGTTTACATGATACTGAATGTATGCGACCTAAAAAATCACAGTAAAGGTAACACTGCAATTACAGATTCTTACCCTGGTTAACTGCAATGACCTCCTTATTAGAGATGATCTCCATAGTTTCTTTGCTTGCATTCCTCACGTCACATCCAATAAGAAGAGGAGCCTGCATGGTCATTCTTATTGATGAATATTGAACCAACCTAAAACAGGCAAAGCAATACACAAGGTCACCTTTTATATTACCTTGGAAATGGCCCATATGCTGAAGTGGACAATGTATTCATCTTTAGTCATCCCTCCATTTCCTACTTCAAGCATATCAGGATCTGTCCATACACAAAAGACCATATAACTGCTAAGCACAAGAACACCCCTGATGTAGTGTAGTAATTATAGCCATTATGTGTGTGGAGCTTAAGATTCAATGAGTATTGAGCTACCAATTTCATGTAACAAATGTTTTACAATACTAACTAACCATTCCAACCACCAGGCCTTGCAAGATCAGCATAGACTTCATTCATGTCAGCTCTAGACATCATGCTGTTGCCAGAAAACAAATTGCAATCAATTTGTAGCCAAGATGTTTTGAATTGTGAAAACAAAAAGACGATCACAATGTAAGCAGATGGTTTTACCTTTCCCAGTTATCTGTAATATCACCAGTGGTTCTCCAGCTATTTCCTACCTTGGCACCCCAGAGAGCAGGGTGCAGATCCCCCCTATAGCAGAAAAGGGAGGAAGAATGTCAACATAATAGAAGCTAAAATAGATTTTATAAAAGAAAAAGTTATAATCAGAAAGTGGCTTGCCATTCACATAGAGAGAAGAAGATTGGACGACCAGCCTTCATCAGAGCTTGGGTCATTACAGGGTATCTGTATGAAAAATGAAAAAAAGTCTGTTGTAATTAGTGGCGTCAATGCACGGCTATTGAAGTAAAATCTAGTTGAAAGAACAGGTAAAAAATACCGAACAGTTGGCCTTGAACCGTCATTGTTACAGTTATCATACTTTAGGTAGTCAATGCCCTGTTTGAAGCAATTCAGCAGTGTATGATTTGGGTTCTAATGACTTTGAAACAAGTTATTTTTAAATATTAACCACTATTGTTTTAAATTAAAAGGATCAAACTTAAGTAGACTTCTAAACAGTATATCTACAAAAGGATATTACTTCAATAATGTTTGTTTATACCCATGAAGCAAAGGTTTTGGCATCTTGTTCTTCATGACCAAGTGAACCCGGCATTGTTCTGCTACATGTAAAATACCTTGACAAGTATATATAAAAAAAAAATCCAATATCAGTGCTCCTCGTCATAATGCATAGGAGATAAGAAACTAAAGAGATTAAAAGAACAGCTAACAGTAATTAGGAGATTAACATTTCAGGAGTGGGGCCAGATTAAATATCCGAGGCTTAGAGAAGAACCAAGCTTTTAACCATGGGACTGTCAAAAATTGGTTATTGGTACTCAGTTATTCAAATAACAAGAACCTAGACAGAATATTGTTAGTTTACCCTGCATCTGAGTATATTCCTAATTTAAGACCCTTGCTGTGAACATAGTCTGCTAGAGCTTTAATCCCTGAGGGAAAGGTTGACTTCTTGGCAACAAGATTTCCCTGAAATTTCAAACACCAAGCTTTTATTTAATATATTCATAATCATGAAATATAGTGTAGCAGTAGTTAATATCCTGTTTGATATGTTTACCTACATATGTCCAATTCTTTGATTTGGTAGAAGACCAAATCATAAATCTAATTTAAGAAAAACAGTCAAGAAAATATCAAAAAGAAAATCAATATTTTCAGTCTGTCATATTTACATCCTTTAGCATCAGCTGATTCATTTGAAAATTTTTGAAGCTAACAAAATGTTGTAGCACATGTAATTATAAATACTTTTATATACCATGTGATTGCAAATAACTTTTAATGGAAAACTAAAGCTATAACACCTTCTAACACATTGTAGGGGGTGGGGTACCCTTTCAGTGTTCTTAGGGTAAATCGTCATCTAATTTTTCAAGTGCATTTACAAATTCTAAAATCCATCATATTTGGATAAAATAAGATATGACAAAAAAAAGAGAAGTATTTTGAACCAAACCTTGTCATCACGAGCAATCTCAGCCCAACAGTCATCTAATAAACAAAGAAAGGAAGAATAACAGTTAGATATATAATTTCATGCACGCATACGTAGATACACACATACACAGAGAGAGAAGATGATTGGAACATAAAATACCTATATTAACATATTGATAGCCAAGCTTGGCCAGACCAGTTGACACCAAAGCATCAGCTGTTAAACCATGGATAACAAAAGGAGGATCGTCAACAATTAGAAAGGGAAGAACATTTTATGCCAACTAAAAGTAATATTTGTCATTTCCCTTTTTTCCCTTCTTTGTTCGTTTTCTTTCTCAAGATATGAAGAAGCCATATTAAACACAGAAAAAAAGATGAAATATATGAAACAGAACAAACACTTGTCTTAAGGAAAGTATGAACCCATTTGACCAAATTTATGTAATAACAAGAAAGTGAAACCATTGGACCAGTACAACTAAATCCCACTCCAAGTGGGTAAAACTTCAGTCAAGCTTGGTCTGACTTGATCGCATCAGTCAATCAAAATACGGATCTTCGTAATTTTTTTTTTATCAATAAAGGGTCTTCGTAATTAATTAACGCTCAATAAAATAATACAGCATCGTATTGTGATAGTCCTAATTGAACTTGACACAAGACAGGAACAAGATAGTTGTTCAAGTTGAGCGACTTGAGCCTATCGAGAAAAAAAATGTTCGGGACCAGTAAAAGGCGATTCTGAAACAGGGAATGTTCTACCTGCCATTACGTATGTATCAGATCGCAGTTGAACTCACATACGGATCAACTCAATCATTTACCAGGCTTACACTCACCGGTTTCTCTGATAACCTTCTCGTCGATGTTGCAGAAAAAGTGATTCCAACTGTTCCACCTGCATCCAGACGACACAAAATGTCAAGTGTCTCAACGTAAGAACAGGTTAGAGATGCCGGATACCCAATCCAAGTCTGGATTAGAACCGGGGTTATGAATTGTAAGGAATGAGGAAATCACAACCTCACCATCATCAGCTGTTCACTCACCAATTTTCATTCAATAATCCTGTGATCTCTTAATTGGACCCAGGGAAGGAAGAGCTCATGTTGCTGCGTTCCACTATTGTCTCATTCAATTAATTTTTAATCATTTACCCGTTCCAAAGAGCAACAATCCCTTCACCCCCCAAATCTTTTGTGCACACACTTTGAACGCATATTAGGAGGGGCGTTGCATTGCCATTGCGTTTTGGGTTGAGAGAGAAATTTTTACTTGAAATGTTTTCAAAACGTTTTGAGTTGGTGAATATAGAGCGCTATTTCTATCCAAAACGTCAATTTTGATTTGCCATTTGCTCAACCAAAAAACAGAAATAAGAGCTTTGATGGGATGATCTCAACCATCCGAACAAATGGCATGCATTAAGCTTAGACCTTGGATTGATTTTATTCTTTCCTCTTAATCAAAACGTTATACCAATTCAAGATTGTAGATAGATTGATCGATTAGACTGCAGAGGTTCATGAAAACGAAGAAATAGAGAGATGTACTCGGAATGTCCTATTATACGGTTAATCCATGGTTACTGAATTTCCGGAATCTAATTAACCATACAAGACTTACAAGATTCCGGCAATGTCCAATAAGAAATCAGGGATAATGGAATTCAAACTTCAGAGAGAGAGAGAGAGAGAGGTGGTATAAAGTTACCCCATGGGAGGCGTAATGCCGAGTCCATTGGCGAGCAGATTTCTACGATATACATCTTCGGATTCGGCTAGTAACAATTTGGAGGCAGAAGAAGAGGAAAACAGGAAGCAGCAAAGTAAGAAGACAAAGAGAGGAAGTGATGGAGCAGAAGATCTCTCCATTTCCTCCTGCAGCAGCTAGCCCAGCCCCAGCCCAACAGCAATGGCTTTTAATTATATAGGCGACAAGCAGAGACAGGGAAGGAAACCAAGGACTATTTACAGACTTGCTGTCCGTGTATGGATAAAAAAGCAGAGTGTAAGAGGAGTAGTGCAGAGGAAGAGTCCCACTGGAGACTGAACCACTACTGAATACACTTCACGACACTACACTTCAATGTTGGGTAGTGGTCCAGTCACAATCGCAATTGCCAACTGGCAAGCAAAATAAACAACATGTATCATTTTTGAATTTTTTTTATTTATTTTTTTATTTTTGATAATAAAAGTAAGGGGCTACACATCTATCTCATTATGAAATTGGGACCCATCACAAAAGTAAGACCCGTCATATATGAAATGTACAGTGTCAGACGAGACGATGTTGGTAAGGTTTTGAAACATATTTTGTTGGCAGGTGATCTGATTCATTCATGTGCAAACTCAACGAGTGTGATTCCTTATGATGGAAAAGTGCTCTCAAATTCTTAGGGGAGCTTAAATCAGATTTTATTTGACTAATCCATGATGGTTCCGACCTCCAAATGTAAATGCTTTTAGTAATCCATGGATTCCATAACTATACAAGGTGGTATACCATTATCTTGTCATAGGCCACCCTCATCACACCTGAAAGTATTAGACTTAGTACACTCTAATGGGAGTTGGAATCTGCAGGACTGCAACTGCTAAGAGAGCATTTCACACCGAAAACAATCTCTCATGCCACTCAAGTTGGAGCAATTCATAATCTATTTGCTGACAAATTGGTATGGAAAGGAAAAGGAATAGCAATAAGGTCTGAGACCCACTATTGCTAACCCAAAGAGCAAATGACATATTAAACTATTGTTCAACCTTTCTTACGAATGCAGCTGTGGTTGAATTGCCTATTTCAACATCAAATGAGAGTATGTTTGTGCTATTTATAGATGGCTCTAATTGCACACTTGCAACACAAGGTTCATGTTGCCGAAATCCGTGCAGTGATCAAGGGTCTTAAAATAGCGGCAGAGCACAATTATGATCACTTATCGGTTTTTCTATTAGATGCTGAAAATTTTGTTAACAAGTTGAACTTCTTAGTCAAAGACCGTTTCTGGATAGATTATTAATCAACATTGCCAAGTTCAATAATTTGAATTTCATTTACATATTTAGAGATGCTGTGTTTTATTTGCACTAGAAAAACTGCATGAGAGTGCAAATGAAAAAAGTGTAAATTCTCGTTTAATTTTGTTTTGGATTTTACTTTATTCTGTTTCATATATTAAGTTACTTTCTTAAATTTTGTATCAATGGAAATTTCTTCGTATTGCAACCAAATAGGGAGGCCCAGGCCCACAAGTTAGTTTTCCCTTTGCTTGTAAATTAAAGATGCATGGATGTCTAGACATGACAAGTGGCATTCAGAAATTTGCATCGAGTCTGTTCCTACTTTTTCGTATATTTTAAACTTTATTCTTAAGTTGACTATAATCTGCCTTAAAAATCTGAATTACTAGTAGCCCCCTATAAACCGCCCCCTGTTTGTGAATTTAACATCAATCCATGATTAATGGATTAATCTACCCCTAAAAATCCTAGCTCCACCCTAACGGTGTGGATTGAACTATAAAAAACCCATTTGAAAAAAACAAATCCAGGCTTAAGAAAGACAAAAAATCCGCTCTGGCTCTGACGTCTCTCAGTGCAGCATGATTGTAATTTAATAGATCTGGTTTCATAGCTTAGCCGCTTAGGTGTAAAAATGAACAAGAAAGAGGAGTCACGGGTACGACACCGACATGTATAATGCCTTCTAAATCCTTAAGAATTTGAAAGAAACCCTTGCCATGTGGAGCTCCGATTTGATACTCACAACCGTTTCCACATCATACTTAGAAGATATATAATATATATTATGGGTGGGCAATTGGGCATTGTAGATATTTTTCTTGTCATTTATGGAGATATATTTTCAATATACGGAGTAGTGTTTCATTGTATTGTGTATAGGAGATCTGTGGTGTATTCTACACCAAATGGCTTTTTATTAGTCACCAAATGTTGCTTGATTTAGGGTTTATTTGTTTTTTCTTAAACACTGTTTGGTTTGTGGGAAGATTTGAGTGGAATGGAAAAGTGTAAAAATTTACCTTTCTATTATTTATTTTTATATATAGGAAAATAATAGAAAAAACACTGTAACGGGTTGGTTCTTCGCTGGAGTTGAGAAAGAAGATCTCCATGAGTTGCAATGGCGAGAGTTGCTGAGAGTTGAAGAACAGAGCTCCACGAGTTGCAGCGGTGAGAGTTGAGAAAGCAGATCTGGTGAAGATGGGAAGAAAAGGAGTGCTGAGAAAGCATATCACCGCTACCGAGAGTTGCAGCGGTGATTAGAGAAAGGGAGAAAGACGGGAAGAATAGGAAGAAGAAGAAGAAGATGATGAGGGAGAAGATAGAAGAGGAAGATGGAGGGAGATTGCTGCAGATCGTCGTTGCCCCTCATAGAAGAGAGAAGAGAAAGGGAGGAAGACGGGAAGAATAGGAAGAAGAGGAAGGCGAGGGAGAAGAGAGAAGAGGAAAATAAGCAGATCGCTGCTGCCCCTCGCAAATCGCTGAGCGAGAGCAATAAGCAACTCTGTTGAGAAACCACGGTATCCAATCTTCAAGACGACGCCTTCTTCTCATGTTTCTTTTCTTCCACAGATTCCTCGCAGATCGCCGCCGCCCCTCGCACCGGTTCCTTGCCAGCGTCTGGTGAAGAAGAAGGCCAGTTCAATGGTAACGGTGGTTTCTCAAGTTTTTCCACCGGGGTCGCACGGTTTTGGTGTGACCCCAATTTCACGATTTTGGAATCTGACATCCCACACTTTTTTCATGAGAGAAAAATGAATATTTTTGGAATATTTCCTTTTTCTCATCCCCACCCCACAAACCAAACGGAGCCTTAATTCTTAACTTTTAACAAGAATTTTTTAACTTTAAGAGAAAAATGGGTATCAGTTTCTTCTCATCTCTTATTTCTTAAAGTACAATCATATAACTTTTTAGTTTTTCTTCTGGTTATTTTATACATAATAATGCTGTTTTTTTTTTCATATTTGCTTCCAATGAAAACCAGACGAGCCTAAACGATTAGACCATTCACCCTCGGAATTGGTCATGGCTCTAGGTCTGTTTTTTTATTGGACCGCTATTTTTGAAAAAAAAAATATTGAATGGGTCAAGGAATCACTAACCTGGGCGGTTGAACTGCTACACAATTCAATCTAGGCAATGTTTTGTAGGTCATATTTTATGATATACGGGGCAACTACAATCTAGGCAACGTTTTCAAATTGTTCATTTTTTCAGTATGGCTCAGTTACAAATACAAATATATAAAATAATATAAAATATAAAGTTTTATACTCTACATATTTATATTTGTACTCCTTCGAAATGAAATCTAAAGGAAATAAATGTGCTGATTATTTAGCTAATTTGGAAGAATGAATAAAAGAAGTTTCAAGTTCTTTGAAGGTGGATCAGTCCTTCCTAGAACCTTCTCTAATATGGGTCTTCATTGCGTATTGATTAAAGCTATGTCGTTTTTTGGTTTGTTTTCTTTAGTCTGTTTGGGTGGATTTGAAATTTAGGTTAGGGATAAGGCCGACTATGTCCTCCCATCTCTCATATTAATATTATATATCTATTCGATAGTGATTAATAAAATTTAACGTAGCTGCCCCTCCGTCTATATTAAAGTTTGGGCCTAGAATGAAAAAAGACAAGGTGTCTTATCTTTAGACTGTTTAGTTTGATGGAAAAAGTAGGAAAAATAAAGGAAATGTAGAGAAATTTTTACAAACTTTTATATAGGTTTCTTTATGTTTTCTTTTTTTTTTCCTATTTTTTCCTTCAAACCAAACATAGTCTTGATTAATTTTAGACCTCACAAAGAAAATCACATTCAAAAATAACTACAAATAATTGTATACATTTATCATTAAAATGACAGCCAATTGTTTTAAAACCGGGCCTAGAGAGTGAACCACTTTTCCTCTGAATGGGCAGGTTGCTGGTTCAACCAGGCCAATCCAAGGTATCATGATAATGAAAAAAATAAATAAAAGTAATGCCAGACCCAATAACCCAATAAATTGGTTGAACATGGTAATAGTTAAAGCATGAAAATAATGAATTGTTGAGAAAGTCAACATTTTTCTGGGTCACCAGGCCATTGGACTGACCGGTTGGACCGATGACTGGTTAAAAACATGGACCCCCACCCCCTCTCTCTTTCTCACGAGAACCATCAGAATCACCAACCAACTGAGTGTGGTGGACCTGATCCTGCTGGATGGCTGTTTTAGGACATCTTCTTTCTTCCTTTTATTTTCATTTAGGAAATAGACAAAAAAAATGTTGAAAAAAACCACACTACCCGTGCAAATTACATCTCCCTGAAGTTTCTGGTTATTGTCAAAACTTTCCCTAAACTTTTGGTACTTGTAATCATTTCCCCTGAACTTTTTTGATATAGTTTCAAGTAGATTCTTCTTAATAGAATTTTTTAAAAAAAGGTATTAAAATTTTAAAATGTCCAAAATACCTATACAATTATTTTTAACAAAAATGTTTATTTCTCAAATTTTCTCTTTATATGAATCACTGCCCTAAATCCTTTTAATCCCTTTTCTGAAATTGATTTTTTTTTCAAATTTGCCCTTCATATCAATCACTCGTAGGTATAAGGTGCAACTTTAAATTCTCTTTGTTTTTGTTGTTCATAAAGTTTGTACTATTCCTTTTCCCATAGAAACCAGCCTCAAAAGTAACTACATGGGTGTTTTAGACATTTTCATGCCTTTTTTTAAAAAAGTCCAGAAAAAATCTACTTACAACTGTATTAGAAAATTCAGAGGTTTCAGCAATTTACCCTAATTTTTATTATTTTAAAATGCCCACCTCCACCTGAATTTGCCTATCTTAATCATAAAAATTTGGTATAAGAAATGGACTTCAAGCAAATAAGCAAAAGGATAGAAAACAAGGGCAGGCTGTTTAGGGCATATCCCTAACTAGTGAATAGAG